ATTATTGCAGTTAATCTATGCTCATAACTAGAGGAGAATTAGACATGAGAAGAGTATTTTAAGAATCAAATTGACATGTTTTGGGTCTTAATTTATGATCTACTTAGGGTTATAGATCATGATTCATGTTTCCTAAAGCTTAGGGGTACAAGATAGTTATTGCTGTGCTTTCATTTCATTCAGGGTTATGAGCATACTCAGATTAGCTGTGGTCCAGTAAAACAGATTTATGTTTTGATTACAACATCCAGAGGCAGAATCAGCGTTCAGAGAGGGCATGCCAGGACCCTTCTGGGTAACAACAATGCTCTCAGCCTGGAGTCACTCTGGAACCTTCTGACCCAATGCTCTTGGGATTTTCATCCACCCAGAGTTCACAGTTTAACAGATTTTGTCTCCCTGACTCATTTATGTATGGGCAAGGCCCAAGGCACTGTATTCTCCCTGGAAAGACCCTGCATGCAGAGAAGCTGGACAGGAGGGGACCCCAGGAATTAGGGCAGGAGCTGAGGAGAGGTGAAGCATGGCTAGAGCCAACGTCATCTCCAACTGATCTCTCCTCCATTTTTCCCGATTTGACTGAGATGAGGCCAGGAGTGTTAAGGTATGGGGCTCAAACTCTAACAGGCTCTCCACGGATTCTCTTCTTTGGGCCCCAGCCAGGGGCCAACCTCACCACTCCAACTTCCCTTCAAGGAGAAATCAGCCACCAGGCACTGAGATTACAATAAAACTGAAGGTTCAGCCTGGCTCACTGGGAATGTGGTGCTCCTTGATACCAGGACCAGGGTACCCTCCCTCTCAGTAACTATGGTCTTCTTGGGGGTCTCAGTCTAATGGACAGAGGGATACACACAAAACTGTCTCCTCATATCTTAGAGAATTTTATAGGTTTCCTGACAGGGTCATCAAGTCATCCTAGTTTGCCCAGAGCTGTCCTGGTTTTAAAACACCAAGGTCTATGAGAACCTGCTCGGTGCTGGGAAAACCAGAATGGTTGGTCACCTCATTTCCTGATGAGCCCACATTTTGAGCACAGAGGGTACAATATCCCAAATCTGTACCTTATGACAAAGGTTCACATCAGTTAAAGTCCCTTCTCCCATCACGAGCTTTTATGATCCTTTCCTGGTTCTTATCTCCTATCTCACTCCCCTCCTGTTCCTACAATTGTTACCTCACTGTAACAACTCACAAGCCACGACAATGGTAGGAGGCATTATCAGAAAACTTGGCAGCCTTCAGACTGAGAATGTGAAGTTTTTCCCCAATTCAATGATGTTTATATTTAAAAGACCTCCTCTGTGGTCTTTTCTTCCTTTTGCAGGTTCTGGGGCTCTCGTGACACATACAGCCGCCACCACCATCAGAGACATTTCCAGAGGCATCTGGCCCCTTCCACTGCCTTGGCCACACAGGATGTCCATTTTGGCAGCAGTAGAGCAGCCACATGCAATAATTACATACATCCTACACATTGACGTGAAGTTGCAGGGTACTATGCTGGCCCCATTTGATAGATAAGCAAACAAACAAAAGAGAAGGAGCAGAGCCCAATCTGGAGGGTAAGGGAAGAGAAACAGATCCTCAATCCCAGAGTGAAATGTCCAGTAAAGCTCCCCAGTGCCGACAAAGCATTTTCCTTGTAAACCTCCTTCAATGCCATTTACCAAGATAAACAGTCAGGACAAGAGCAGGGTTGAGGTGGGGGAAAACTGGGGGTCTGATTTAGGGCACTTATGGCACAAAGTGAGGTGGGCCCTGCAGGGGAGTGGGAATTGGGAAAGGAGCATTCTATGGGGGAAGGACACACGGACACAAAGACATGGCAAATGAAATGAGCCCAGTGTGTGCAGGAGACTTTAGGAACACCAACTTAACTGACTTGAGGGGGGTGTATTAGAAAAGAAACAGAGGGGAGTACGAAGACTGGGGGTCTGGGAATGATATCCACGGGTGAAATGTCACGTAGGGGAACATGGGTTTTATTTAATAGGCAATAGGGAGCCACGGAGTGTTCTTATGTTCCAAACCACGCTTTACAGTTGTTCTGACACCCAGTCATGCCAAGCCACTCCCACCTGGAATGCTACCTGCAGCATTGTTCCCTTGTGTCACAATACACCCCCAGCAAGCCCTCCCCAACCAACACAGACTCAATCCCCTATGGGAATCATCCATGCACAAAGAAACACTTTCGCAGGTATGGCCACCCGCATGGATGCAGACAGATGTAGACAGATGTAGCTGCCACACTCGGACATGCACTCAAGCTCATGACATATTTGGCTGCACAGAGACACAGTCTGTCTCCACACCCCGGCATACAATCCTAGACACACACACACACACACACACACACACACACACACACACACACAGAGTCATACAGCCATACATATTGCCAGTCACCAGAGGCACAACGCTCTCACACTCCTACACCTCCTGCAAGAAGCCACGGTGGAGGGGAGAGGAGGATTGGCCCCACAAGCTACTGCTATACACCCTGGGCTCCCCTGACCCTGCCCCCAGGCACTCTGCTTGAGGTTCAGGAGTCAGCCGGACCCTTGCTTCTGGCCTTCACAAGACAGGGGCTGAGGGCCAGCAACCTCACTCTGCATGGGCTCCTGAATGTCCCTTGAGTGGGATGTGGCACTAATCACCTTTCTCCCATCGAATTGGACCCTAAAGAGGAAAATAAGGAGCCCCAGAGCTGAGCTGCCTCCTGCCCCAGGGATAATGCCGAGGGAAAGGGCAGGGTTGCCTCTGGGGCTAAGGTGTTCCCAAGGCCCCCAACCCCATAAGTTGTGGCTAACAACTCCCTCCTCAGACGCTCCAGGACTGACTACACCTAGCCCCCCACTGCTCTTCCCTCCCGCGATGCTGAGAGGCCCGAGGGTACACTTGGGGCAAAGGGCCGGGCTGGAGAGTGTGCATGAGATACATGTGCGCATGTGGGAGTGTGTGCTGTTTGTGTGAGGCTATGATTGTGCAGTACCGTCACCGTTCACTGTATCAGTGGGGGGTGCGGGGGGGGAGAACAGTGTGGATGTGGATGTGCCCCTCCAGGGTGGCGCATCTCTGCCCTGGCCCATCATGAGCTTAGGTGAGTGTCGCCATGTGTGTGAAAATGTGAGCCTGTGGGCCCCTGAGGCCGTGCAGGAAATGTGATCAGTGAGGGGATCAGGTGTGATAGCATGTGCATGAACGCGCTCTGGTAGAGTGCTTACACAGGGTAGGTGGGCAAATGTGTGCGGTGGGTCCCAGCCGGCGTGTGTGGTGCTGTGAGCTCCCCCGAGCAGGAGTATGTCACTCTCTGGTCCCAATGCCATTTTTGTGACTGCATTTGACAATCTGTTTATGTGCATGATGATCTGAGCCCACGGGTCTTGTGGTTTTATTTGTCTGCTTACTTACGAGTATTGTGTGCACTAGGCCACTTTTTTGTGTATGACTGATTATGTCTGTGTATTTGCAGAGAACGGCTTGAGGCCGCACACGTCTGCAAGCCTGCACGGGTGTGTCTGTGATTACATATGAATGTTTCTACAAACAGCTCAGTGCATTTTAATGTTCACTGGGAGCGATGTAGACAGGAGCTAGAACAAGCCTGGTTTTTAGAAGCCATTTTATAAAGAACCTTCTGCAGCCCCCTCCGCCATCAGTCCTATTCTCCATTTACCCTGATCCTCTCACCCTCCTGGAAGGTGGGATGTGATTGGGAGTTTGAAAAAAAATGCTTGACAGGGAGCCAAAGCCAGAGGATTCTTCTTACCCAACGGAGGAAGAAAAGAAAGACGCTAGAGTAGGGAGGGCCTTTATGTTATTTTTTATTTATTTGTAATAGAGAAGGATGCAGGGAAAAATTAGCAGATCATTCTCTTGTAGGGATGGCTTCTGTAGGGCCTCCAGAAAACCTGTGTCCTAAAACCCCTATCCTTTTAAGGCTCCTTCTTGGAGAATTGTCCAAGATTTCTGCAATAAGAATCAGACGGAGGGGGGAACTGGAAGACGTTAAAACAAGTTGCCAGTGTCCTTAAGAGCCAAGACCCTGCATCTGGCAGGTGCATTTATCTGTCTGACAAGTTTCTCACAAAGGGTTGTGCATTTGCTTGTTTCTCAAAAAGTGTTTGATTTCAGGGGGAAAGCCCTCTAGGTACACAGGGACTTATCCAGATTCTTTGGTTCTTTTTTTTTTTTTGGCAAGTCTGACAATATCTTTATTCTTCTCTCACACTTGATTATTACTTTGGCCAAGTATGGAATTCTAAGTTCAACATATTTTTTCCCTTCAGAATCTGAAGATACTGCTTGACTGTGTTCTATCATCTCCCGTCCATGAAACACTTGACGGCAGTCTGTTATCCGAACATCATTAGATCCTGTGCTCTGCGCCCTCGGAGGTATTGGGCTCTGCTCTTTATCCTCAGGGTTCTAAAATGTCACAGTTTGTGTTCAGGTGTTTGGAATTGTGTTTCCTTATAAAATATGTGCCCTTCAGATTGGGGATTTTTCTTTCTTTCATGTGTTCCTCCCTTCCGTCTTGTTTTGTTCTATTTCCCCCATTCCTACTTTCCTGAAATACATGCCTGTGGGTCAGATCTCTTACCTGCTGAATTGGTCCTCTCTCTATCTTTTCTTCCGTATTCTCTTCCTTCTCCAGGCTCCATCCTGGGCAATATCTTTTGTTCTGTTTTTGCTTACAATCACAAAGAATCACGGTTGGAAGCGGCCTGGAAGATCACCTGGTTCAGCCCCCTTGTTTTACAGATGGGAAAGCTGGGGCCAGAAAGGAAGAAGGTTCGTGGGTGGTAACATGACTTGTCCACAGTCACACCTGGGTGTAACACCAGGGCTGTCGGACTCCAAACCCCTGGTTTTCTCCGTTGCCAGGAAGCTTTGAGCCGTTTAGTCACCCTTCACCCTTTTCCTTAGACACTAGGGAGATGACCCCTCAGTAAAAAGGAACCCCTGGGGTCTCAGGTGAAAACAGCCCGGCCATGGATGCTGTCAATGAGTCTTCAGAGGGAGCTCCATTCATCCTGCTGGGACTGACGACAAGTCCTGGACAGCGGCGGCCTCTCTTTGTGCTATTCTTGGTCCTGTACGTGGCAGGCATCGTGGGTAATGGACTCATTATGGCCGCCATCCGGGCCAGTCCAGCCCTTCATGCCCCCATGTACTTCCTGCTGGCCCATCTGTCCTTTGCTGACCTCTGCTTTACCTCCGTCACTGTACCCAAGATGTTGGCCAACTTGTTGGCCCATGAGCGCTCCATCTCCCTGGCTGGCTGCCTGACCCAGATGTACTTCTTCTTTGCCCTGGGTGTAACTGATAGCTGTCTGCTGGCCGCCATGGCCTATGACCGCTATGTAGCCATCCGGCACCCCCTCCACTATGCCACAAGGATGTCCCGGGCCGTGTGCACAGCCCTGGTGGGGACCGCATGGCTGGTGTCCCACTTCCACTCCCTCCTGCATATCCTGCTTATGGCCCGCCTGTCCTTCTGTGCCTCCCACCAAGTGCCCCACTTCTTCTGTGACCACCAGCCTCTCTTAAGGCTCTCGTGCTCTGACACCCGCCACATCCAGCTGCTCATCTTCACTGAGGGTGCCGCAGTGGTGGTCACTCCCTTCCTGCTCATTCTTGCCTCCTACGGGGCCATCGCAGCTGCAGTCCTCCAGCTGCCCTCAGCCTCCGGGAGGCTCCGGGCTGTGTCCACCTGTGGCTCCCACCTGGCAGTGGTGAGCCTCTTCTATGGGACAATCATTGCGGTGTACTTCCAGCCCACATCCCAGTATGAGGCAGAGCGTGGCCGCGTGGCCACTGTCATGTACACCGTAGTCACCCCCATGCTAAACCCTGTGATCTACAGTCTCCGGAACCGTGACGTGCAGGGCGCGCTCCGAGCCCTTTTCACTGGACACAGGATCTCAGCTGGTGACTCCTAAGGCCTAGACCCCACTGAGCATGGGCTACATCACCCACGGTGACAATTCATGCATGTGATCATCTGTTCTGTGCTTTTTCCCCAATTCATAATAACAGCTACCACCTTCCAGGCACCCGCACTGTGAGGCAGAGCTTTGCCTGCACTGATGTTATTCCCACAAAAACCAGGGAAGCGGATGTTATGATCCAGTTTCGTGGAGGAGGAAAGTGGGTTCCAAGAGAAGAGCTGACTTTCCCAAGCTTACATAATTTTTAGGTGGCAAAGCTTGGGCCCTTTCTGCCACATCATTCCCTCTTCCGCGCTCACTCCTAGGCACTTAGGGAGTCTGCGGCCACATTCTGAGGACCGAAAGCTATATAGGATAGCGTGTGCCCCCAGGTCTTGTCTGGGGGGATTGGCACTTTATTTTTCCATCGCATCACCATGTATTCACAAATAAATGACTTCTCGACTGTCTGGGACATGGATAAAAGCTCCCAGACCATGTGTCGATGGTTGACCTCTCCCAGAGAACACAGTCCGGCAGAGAGGAGGCACTATGCACATCTGCGATGAATAAATGTTTGTACGTTTATGCTAATAAGCACTTAGAAGCTGTCCATATTTTAGATTCTTTGTTCTCGTACTTGTTTACTACGATGCCACCTGTTTGGCGACATCTGGAAACCTGTAGAAGGAGCATGCAGTGAGCATGCACTATAAATAAATTAATTACTTACATGATGCAAAGCAGGAAAGAAGGGTTGGGGCGCAGGCATGAGGGGCAGACGGAAGAGGTAGTTTTAAGGTTGTATCGGGTGCCAGTGCTTGATTTATTTTTACCCACACAAAGCATGGGTGTTCTCACTGCCACTTTATGAAGGAGGAAATTGAGGCTCAAAGATGGTGGGCTAGTCGGTAGCAGAATCAGAAGCCCTTTTGCTATTGGAGTCTCTTGGGTATATTTTCACTGGGCCCCCGAGAATCCAGACCCGAGGTGTGGGGGCCTCCGTGGAAGAACTTACAGGAAGAAGTCCCAGACCGGGGCAGGTACACTGGCTCAGGTGAGGACACATCTGGGTCAGAAAGGCTTCCTGGTATGTCCAGCCATTTTTCTTTTATATCCATGTCTCTCCAAGATATCCACACCCACTGCCCACTCCCTCATCTTTCCCCTTCCCGTCCCTCCCCTCCAGTAGGTAGAGGAGGATCCAGAGCAGCCCTGGCCTTTCCAGCTCCCACTAAGAAGCCTGCCACCACCCAGTCCTAGACCTCCTATACTCTGCTGTTTCGATCTAAAAGGGAATTTAACGATCTTTAGACCAGCAGTTTAAGCAAAACAAAACAAAATGAAAACAAACAAAAAAGCCCACAACCCTCTTTTTTTCTAATGAAACCTTACACAGAAACATCATATAGAAAACAGAAGGAAGGGGCACCTGGGTGGCTCAGTGGGTTTAAGTGTCCGACTTTGGCTCAGGTTATGATTTTGCGGTTTGGGAGTTTGAGCCCCACATGGGACTCTCTGCTGTCAGTGCGGAGCCCGCTTCAGATCCTCTGTCCCCCTCTCTCTCTGTCCCTCCCCTTCTCTCCCTCTCTCAAAATAAGTAAACATTAAAAGAAAAGGTGGGGGGTAGCCACACAGTGTGAGGTAAAAGTCGAAAACAACCTTCTCAGCTTCCTTGATGCTCCTCCTCCACCTCCCTGAAGGGATCCTGATCTAATTAAAACCCTTCATTTGATAAACTAGGGAAATGAGGTCCAGAGTGGTTAAGGGACCTGCCCAAGTTTACACACACACAAGGAAGCAGGCTTCCTTGCTCAGCCCACCCAAACCTGCGATGCTATTGAAACCATCCTTTCCTGCCCAGGCCCGAGGCTATCTGCTCCTGCTGTGAGGCCAGATCCTTGCCACTCTACAGATAGCCTGTCCCTTGCTCCACAAGCCACTCCCTCCCTGTGCCCTGTCTAAAGCTTCACAAACATCCCAGTCATGATGCTCATCAACCATTGCACACTGGCACCACCAGCCCTGTTGGGTTAGGGTGTGTCATGAGAGACCTGGACACACCCTATGAGCCGACCGACCGGGAGGGACCCTGCCTGAGTTCTCTTGTGTCTCTGGAGCCTGGCACAGAGAGTACGCCTGTGATGTGCTGTTGCTCTGTCTGTCTTCTGATCCTCTTCTAGGTGATGTTTCTGCATAAGGGGACGCAGCGGGGTTTGGGAGATGGCCAATGCTTCCTTCTTCTGGGCCACCAGCCGTGCCCTGATCATCTGCTCAGATGTCATTCCAAAGAGCTGGCAGCACCCTGGAAGAATGTTCTACTTCCAGGCCCCCAGTAAGACAGGCAAGAGACGGGAATAGTGGGCATGTACATAGCCTCAGTCACCAGGCATTTGGGCCCATGGGCCCCATTCTCGGCCCACCCCCACCTAAATCTGGCCTCTTGCTTTACTTCAGGTAGACCTAGTGGCTGACACTGACCTGAAGACAAGATGATAAATCCTTCCCCCATCTCCAGAAAGACTGCAAAGGTGGTCTCCTATATATATACTTTTTTTTTAAGTTTATTTTTGAGAGAGACAGAGAGTGCAAGCAGGGGAGGGGCAGAAAGAAAGGAGGACAGAGCCTCTAAAGCAGGCTCTGTGCTGACAGCAGAAAGTCCTATGCAGGGCTTAACTCACAAACCAGGAGATCATGACCTGAGTAGAAATTGGACACTTAACTGACGGAGCCACCCAGGTGCTCCTGCAAAGAAGTTCTTAAATCCACTGAAGAAGTTTCCCCTGGATCTTTTCCACATGAAACATAAAGAGACCAATTTTGAACACCTTAAGCAAAATAATCATATGCAAATGCTTATTTTCTTTGTTTGTTTCTAGGCTGTTCCCTCTGAAGAGCCTACACTTATCCCAGTGAGGCAGGTGCAGGTCAAGAGGGTTTGGAGTCCCTCTTCAGAAAGCCTTTACGCTGCACATGGAAACCATATTTCTTAGCTTGTCCTGAAATGTCTTCCGGCCCTTTCAAAAGCTATCTAGCCCACCCTCCCAGCATCCATATTTGCAACTTTTCAGTTTATTCAAAATTACACGCAGCACTATGATCCACGTCATCCAGAAAAAATAGTCACATTTCAAGAAAAGAATTCGAGTCTGTCTCTATGCCCTTGTTTCTTTTTTTTAAATTTTTAATGTTTTTTATTCATTTATGAGAGAGAGAGAGCATGAGAGCATGAGCAGGGGAGGGTCAGAGAGAGAGGGAGACACAGAATCTGAAGCAGGCTCCAGGCTCTGAGCTGTCAGCACAGAGCCCAACGCGGGGCTTGAACCCACGAACCGTGAGATCATGACCTGAGCTGAAGTCAGTCACTTAACCAACTGAGCCACCCAGGTGCCCCTCTATGCCCTTGTTTCTAATATAATCTTCATGCATTACAAAGTAAGGAAGGCTTTGTCTCAAAAGTATAGCATCTGGAGAGACCTCAGAAGTGAAAGGGATTCCAATCCTAAGTGGTAAATTGATTACTCCTTCTAAGGGTACAAAGGAGATTTCTATAAGCCTATATATCCTTTCGTGCATGACTGCCACTAGGAAAATACGACCATTACACCTGAAAAAAGATGCTGTCTCAGTGCAGATACGACTGCTTTAAACTACTCAATATTCCAAGAAAGTGATAGAGCAAGAGCTTAGCTCACCCTATTCACATCTCTTTCATTTTGTTTCCTCTACTTGCTTCACCCTTATGTACCACACAGCCTGTGTTGTTTTTTGTTTTTTTGTTTTTTCCGTCACTTATTCCTATTTCCTTCCCTGTTTGCTCTCTTCTCTCTCTCTTACTATTACTTACTGGGCACCAGGGCTGTGCACACAGTTCTTGCACTCACATACACAATGACAGCACGGATTATGATCCAAGCCAGAAGAGAGAGGTACCAAGTGCTATGGCAGCATCAAAGAGAAAGCAATGACTTGAGATCAGGAGTGAAAGAAGAGTTGAGGAAACTCATGGAGGAATCGGGGCAATTACATCAATGGCCCCAGATCACCCATCCCTGAATCCATGCCCTTGGCCACATAGCTTTGCCCTCCATGACTCTGGGTTTAAATATGCAAGTGGCTTTGTCAATAGAATATTAGGAGGTATGATACAGGCATGAAAAGAAGATATTGGGCTTGTTCTCTTGTGTTTCTTTCATTGCCCTGAGAAGGACATGCCCAGTGGCCCACCAGTGGCAAGAGAAGGCTGAAGGACACATGGAGCAGAGCCACTCCAGTCAAGGTGACCCTGGCAAACCCAGCCTAGAGCAGAGCCCCCACCTGCCCTGAAGATGCAAGAGCAGCCCAGCCAAAATCAGCCAGGACACAGCTGTCCCAAAGACACAGGAGTGAAAATAAATGACTCACATTTTAAGTCACTGAGTTTTTGGGTGATGTGCTACATAGCAAATTGATGAAGCTCCCAGAGCTATTTCTGATATTTGCCTTTTTCTCCAACACAGCATGTCCCAGCCCCTTCAGTGTCCTAAGTCTTGACCTACCAATGCATACTTGCTTTCTCTGCTCGATTTTGGGGACTGATACTCTTGTTCTCACTCTGAATCCTTTGAAGAGTCTGCTCTTCCACTCAGCCAGAAGCGCCTAGAAGTAGGAGTCATGGCTCTCCCTTTCAGATCTCACAACCAAATCCATTTTCTCTTTGCAGAGAGGCAGGTTCATCTCTTGACTGCTTTCTTTGGAGACTTTAGTCATCATTCCCCTCACATTCAAGCCACCCTGGAACACTCTCAGCTCCTGTCCTGTGGGAAGGGAAAAGCCTGGAAAAATAAGATGAGCTAAACTAATCAAATAACCCTGTGTCTGGCAAGTAGCCAGATACCCCGTCCCTGCCCCCTGCCTCAAACGCCTCTTCCTCTCTCCAAGGACCACAGAACAACTGACATCTGATGAAACCATACCCAACACCATCACCACACACATCATGAAATCTAGTAGCCACAGACCTCAGAAGCCAC